GCATATGCATTGGGAGGGAGAGTGGGACATAAATCCCACTGAGTCCAGCCTGCTGTGGCCATTATTATATTCTTGCTTGGGCATGGAAATTAAGAGCCTAAAAGCTGTTGAGAGTTGCAACATTGGATTAGTTCCTCCAGCTTCAACCATTGACTTATTTATCGGTCACTGCTCAGGAACCTGACCAAAAATAAGAGTGCCAGAGCACTAAGGTTTTCATTCTATACTGCTTTATTTTCTTTTGTACTCAGTACAAAGGAAAGGCAGGTCATGGTGAATTGTTTAAGGATTAGGCCTTCCAGCATTTTCCTTTGTCTCTGCTAAGGGGGCTGCTGTAAAGAGCACTGTGGGTCTTGCTTGGGAATACTTCTGAGGTGTGAAGTGTCGCCAGTGGGCTCTGTACACACCAGGCAGGGTCCTCTGTTGGCAAAGGTGCGTCCATATGACAAGTGCCAGTCTTTGAATCTACCTCTTACTAAATATGTTCTTCCAACGGCTGGAACGAAATGTAGCTGTAATAAGGGATACAGTAACCGTTCTGTGTTTAAGCCAAGTTTTAAAAGAGGTTTGCTTCAGTTTCAAAGGATGGGTACAAATAGTATGCTTTATGCCCATTGTGTAAAAATAATAATACGGAACTGTGACTCATTCATGCAGAGGTGGAGCCCTCACAAGAGAAGTGAACCCAGTATTCAGTGTAGCTGGCAGCTAGAGCTGTCTCTGAGGAGACAAAACTCAAAGCCTTGTTCAGAGGCAATGACCAAGTGATTACAGCACATGTCCTTGGATGTGACTATTCTATGTGCATGTGAAAGATTTATGACTGCCACTGTATGCCTGAAGATTGAAATACATTTGAAAGTGTGCTGGTACTAAGGGTGTTATAAGGTTTTTAAGTTAAGAGAGTGTTGCCATTCAGGATGGAGGGACATAGGTTTGAGAATCTTACACCTACCTTAGAGATCTGATTGCGAGTTTCCTGTCGAGTTTCATAAAATTACTTTGCTCTACAACCCACCAGAGATTTTTCAAAGAAAACTTCTTAAAATGTTGCTATTATGTTAAGACATAACTAAAAGTCATCCTGAGTAAGTACACTCCAACAGTATCCTGAATAGTGCACCCCAATGGCTTCTTTGACACTTTGTTCACGTAAGAGCAGTGATTAGTGTAAGTAGCAAGTATTGTGTTTCACTGAGATCATGACATTAGCGTGAACACGGCAGGAAAATAAGAGCAGAGATCTCATGTAGTATAAACCGGTATAGCTTTACAAAAGGCATAATGTTTGTAGTTTGTCCAAACCAATGTCTGAGCAGGCCTGCTGGTCTGTTTAATAGCATCTAGATGCAGATGCCCAGGAAGGACTGAAAACAGGACAAACATGCAGTTATCCTGGTTCTGCTACAGTTTCCAGATTTCCACAAATCAGTGGAGCTTCAGTGATTTACACTCACCAAACATGTGACCCACTTTTTTTTTTTTTTTTCAGTCAGAAAAGAAAACTTTAGTTAAGCAGTAAGGATGTGAAAATAAAACCAAACAAAATAACCTTCCTAAACTTGCTTTGTAACAAACAGAATTACTTTTTTGTTAGTTGCTGCTACTTTAAGACTTAGAGCTGCAAAATGCATCACTGTCCATCAAAAGGATGAGAATACCTGTAGTCTTTATATAACTTTAATGCAGAAGTAATGCTATACCGCTCTGATATATAGAAATATTGCTGCTTAGAGAATGTGGCCTTTAACCAATTTGTTTAATAGCTCTTCTGCAACTGTGACACCTTAATAACTTGCTGATAAAATAACACCATTAGCACATTATGCTACAAGTCACCATTACCAGAGGTCCCATGATGAGGCAGTAAATTATGAAACTAAAAACCAAAGTAATATTCAACAGGTACTGTTTCAGTTTACCTGCTGTAAGCTTGTATTGTTGATTGAAATGGGGCTCTAGTTGCTTGTAGCTGGCTGTTTTTCATATTTTTACATTCACAAACTTACACTCTGACCTTTTTTCTGCTTCTGCCCAGTGTAAGTTAATTGTGGAGTTAATGAGTTTGGTGGATGGGGATATGCACCAGATGGCATAGTCTGCCTAATGTTGCTTAATTTACATGTGGCGTTTCTATGAATTAAATGACCTTAAATGTCATCAGTTTTTGAATTGTAAAATAAATCTGACTCCCTGGGTGTGGAGTTCCTGGATGTTACCTTGTATATTAATAAAGACATCTCACTTGAGGTCTTTAAACAATCATCAAATGGCTCCAAGTGCAGAAAAGTCACTCAGACTGCACTGTTTGTATCAGCCATGAGTCTTACCATTTACACATCTGTGGACTCAATCCTGCCTATGGATGTGCTTAATTATATTACCTCCAGGTTGCTCCCAGCACTTTCATTTACACAGCACATGACTGTCTGCCAGGTTTGCCCTGGACTTCAGAGAGGGTCAGATGTCCAATCTATGGATTTATATTTTTAAATTTACCCTTCTTTCTCTTTTTCCTCAACATTTTTAATCCAAAGGGACTCTACTTTTGACTTTTTGAAATACCTAATAAATGTGTATGCTACAAGAAGCAGGATTTTAATATGGCTAATGAGCCTATTAGGAAACAGTTCAAAAGATGGGAGGGGAAGAGAAAAAAGAGATTATCTCAGTTTAGGTCTACCAGAATCTCTCTTATGCAAGCTAGAAATAATTGACAGCAGCTGTTTCAGCTTGTTCTCATGATCACACAGCCTGAAAGAAAAGCTCAGGCTGCACTGCTGCCATTGCAGTATGTGGATTCTTGAGGCTTTTCAGAGGGTGACTGCAAAGGTGGACACTGAGAGGCCCAGTCTGAGAAAATGATGGCTGCAGAATGAACAAACACATCTTTCTCATCTTGGGCCTGGTCCCTGACAAGTTTCAGGTGTTGCTGATGTCCATTTGATGCATGGTTGTTGCAATGGATATGTGATCAGCTGAGGACTGCTGAAGTTTTCCCAGGCATGTTTCTGAGCTTAGGGAGCGTGTGATTTGAAGCCAGAATATCTGAATAAGTGCTGGGTATTCACTGCTGCATGATGTGGCATATTATAAGCTCACCAATGGCAATACACATATGCAAGCAATTTGATGTGTCATATGTTTCTAGTGCAAAAAAATATTTCCAATTAAGAGACCACCTTTTCAGATTCTTTTCCCCAGCAACTCTGGAAGGCTCTAGTTCAGAATTGTTTGGGACCTTCAAGCATTCCTTTACAACTACCAATTATGTTTGGTTGCCTAGGGAGTGAGGGAGGATTTAATCAGATCTAACTCCACTTCTCTTCGTTATTGAAAGTACCTTTACAAACATACATGCTGAAGTTGCTAAAAGTGTTAAAAGTGTCTTTTGCAGAAAAGACTTACATTTTCTAGTTAAAAATGCTTCTGTTGCTGTGTGTGATACTAAGAAAGTCAACCTTTTTGTTGTTTAATTATGAAAAAAACTGCTAGAATGCAAATAGCCAGACTATGTGGATCGCATTACCACAGATCGTGGTTTATAGCTGGGATTCCCAGCAATGGTGAGCCAGTTGTCTCAAAGCTGGCAGCTAAATAGGCAGACACGATCTCCTGCAATTTCACCCAGTCTGCAGAAAATACAGACTGGTGTGCCTCTTGTGGTAGTGTCATCCACACTCAAACAGAAGTGGCCACTCCTGTGCACTGCTTGCAGACTGGATTGATCTGATTATCACAGTCCTTAACTGTCAGTTGAAAAATCTAGCCAGTGTAAAAGATCTGTCCAACTTGTAATCACTTGTCTGCCTCAGATTCAGTGGGGGAAAAAAAAAAAGACAGGAGATACCCTCTGGCCTTTTAAAGGGGTGGAAGTGAACAAAAATTTCACTGTATCTCTAGCATGGTGGGGCCAGCCAACAGAGACAGTGAGAAAGAGAGTTTGCTTGTGTTGTCATTTGGAGATCTTGCAGCTTGGAGAGGATGCTCTGGAGATGCCCCTGCCTGCTGCTGTCCTGGGTGACTGTGTAAGCAGGCAGGGCTGCTGCCTAATTGGGACTTTCTGTGCTTATGTTAGTGCTCTGGGTACCTGGGTGTCCCTGGCACTGGTGCACTCAGCTGCCTGTTCCTTTTTGCAGAAAGGGCTGTGTGTGAAGGCACTTGCCAAGGGAAGCCCTGTGCTACTGCTTCCCCTTTAAACAGCTCTTATCCCATTGGGATACAGCTTGATCCTGTTGCTGTGTCTCAGTCACAGTGGCTGTGTGTTTCCCTGCTGTATTTGTCTAAGGTGTACTGACTGTATTTCAGTGATTAATTACTGCAGCTATTTAATTTGATTAGGGAGTAGAGAAGGAAAGTTGAGAGGTGAAGACATTTCTGTCTTGATGATTTCTAAATGTGCTTTTTTTACCTCTCTATTTTTCTGCCATGTGATGAGGAAGGGAAAGAGAGTCTAGCTGAGGCTGTGATAAAGAGGTATTTGTTTCCTCACCCAACAACATTGATTAAGCTGGAGGCAGGAAAGCATATTCATTTCTACGCTGCTGTTCCAGATTGGTGCCACCTGCCCAAAGGAATTGAACCTCATAGATTCCTTTAACACCAGGAGAGATGCCAGTGCTGTATTGGCATCACCATAGTAAATTATTTTCTTTCCAAAACTGTTTTTGCAGCAGTGAAAATAGGCCGAGACTCTCCTGTGTTGTGGGGCCAGAAAGGCTCAAATAGAAATTGCCAGACTTAGTGTAATGAGGGTGCAGTCACTTGGAGCAAAATGCTGTAGCTATGTAATGCTATAGTGTGCTAAGTGCTGGACAGTGAAGTCTTGGCCTTGACTGACCACTGTGAGTACCTGCTTAACGTCAAACTAGTGTGTGAAAGTACTGCCAAGCAAAGTAAAAGTTGGTTTTGACCTCTGTCAGATTTGCTTTTTAGTTCACTGCACTGAGGGGGAATAGGAGCAGATCTTTCAAAACTCATTATATCTAAATCCTGAACATTGATACAAAAGATCTTATTTTTCTCTCATTCCCTCATCCACAAGCAATGGGCTTGGATGTTTGCATTGCTTTACTCTTGAGCTGATAACGTCTGATTTCTATTTAGACTATGTTTTTCCCCAGAGAAGGATGTTTATGAAGACCTACCCTTTTAAAGCACAGGCCTGACATAACTCTGCAGCTGTGCTGAAAATTCTTGGTAAGAACCATACTGATTATAGAGCTAGATGATTTATTTTTTTTTTCCCCTGATTAATACATCTATTAGAAAGTGATTTTTCACCCAGGACTAGAGAAATCAAATGAAAACACTTGCAAAGATATGAGCCAAACCTTTCTTAGAGGGAAAAAATGAGTGAGGCAAATCTTTTCCGGAAAGTATGTCAATGCAAAACTTTTCAGAAAGGTTTTGCAGGTGACCCATGTTAAAACAAATAGTCCATTTTCAGCAAAATAACACTTCTCTTGCATTTTCTTGACTTATTTGTCTCCTCTGTCTAGAAAAACTGAATAGAAATTAAATGCCCTATAGAAAAATATGAAGCATGACAGATGATATGAAAACTGCCTTTACTCTAAAACTCTACATTATAATTATAAAAAAAAGCAAAGTATTGCAGTAAGCCATAGAGCAAATATAGAGTTTATGGAGAGCTTTTAAAAGCAGGAAGCTACTGCAGATTAAGCTTCCATAAAACCAAGCTCCTAGTAAGACCTCTTCAGAAACTGACTGATAGAGTGTTGCTGGAAAATCACTGATTGTTGTTCTCCTCAGGTTGTTTCCAGATCACTGCACGTTTCCTGAATGTGGGAGGTCAGTGTCCTGTACCCCGACCCCCATCATCACAGGGACTCCATCTCCTGTACCGTTGTCTGGCCCAGATTCAAAGGGATCCATGAGGATAACACAGCAGTACCTGGGACTTCAGGACATTCAGGTGCTAGGACCTACTTTCCTTCTTTTACTGTCACCTTGAAAACATTCAAGCTGAAAAAAAAGCTCCTAAAGTCTTGGGGCTGCTTGGAAATACAAGTGCTGGTGTTTCTGGACTAGCTTTTCCTCTAACACTTTCAGATAACAAGAATTTCCCAAAACTTTGCTCTTGTTCAGACCAAAAGCAGAATCCGAGCTTCAAATTTCCTATGAGCCAGGGATACCTGGTTGCGGACAAATCTGATTAACATCCTGTACCTTAGAAAGTAAAGTGAGACTATTTTCCCTGCAAACAGCTTTGTTTATGCCCCAAAGCTATCTGCAAAATGGTCACACAAACACAATAACTTTTTCCTTCGTTTTGCACAGAATTGAATTACCAAGAAGAGTTCAGAGCAAGGAAGAGTCTAACACTGTGTCTGTAAATCTGGGCTCCTTTCAGCTCCTTTGTCATACTTCCCTTCAGACTGGAGTGCAATTGATCCGATAGTTTACCTTGGATCTTAAGTGTAAGTGTGTGGCTTTTTAAACCAAGAACAAGCTTGCATTTATCCTTGAGTGTACTTCTGTGCAGTTTAGATAAGCAGTGATATTTTGGTCCATGCTGCAAAGATGCTTCAGGGAGCAAAGTTTCCATTCCACTAATGGAATAGTCTCCTCTAGCTTTTGGTAAATGTTTGCTAAAATACTGCCCACACCTCTTTTATCACATATTATTCTTAGTATCATTGTTCTGGGATCCCCTTACTTTAAGCCATTTTCTCACTAGGGAAGACAGAACAGACTGGTCTGAATGTCTACGCTGGGTCATGGATCATGGATGGCTCCAGATGCATCCTTTCTTTACAGGAAGTCTGTGTTTTGCAGGGAGCACACCGCTTCAACTCCAGTCCATGCTGCAGTTGGGAAGGGGGGATGAGTACAGCTTGTGGCAGCAGGCAGCTCTTCTCTTCCTTGGGATCAAGAAATAGGTGTTTTGCCCAGGGCTTATTGCCTGTAGCTGATAACCTGCATTATTGGGAAAGATAACCACTGTGCAGAGACATGAACTAGGGATGACCCTGTATGTTTTCATTGGCACATTTCACCAAATCAGTGAATTGCAGTCACACAGCCTGGCTGTACAAGAGATGCTTGTGGAGTTTTCAGTATAATTTTCATTCCTACACATAAACTAGTAACCTCTCAGTCCTTGCATCTGTGGCACTCCCTGGGAGAGGGAGGATCTAATGCGTGAAATGTAGCACTCTCACAGCAGGAGGTTATACATAGAGGAAAACTAGAATGGCATTGCCCGTGAGCTGGAAAGCAGTAGAAATAGATTATCTGCTGAGAGAGGGCTGCAGACAGAACTTCAGAGTGAGAATGAGGATAGCAACCAAAGGAATTGCAATTGTCGGCTCTAAAAAGGACACTGCAGCCCTGTTGTCAAAAGCTGGAAGGAGGCCTGCAATAGAAAAAGGAGGAAAGATAAGGCCAGTGATGAAAATCTAATATCGACATCTGCATACTGGTGGGATAGTAAAAAAACCTGATTTTGTGCATAAGTGTGGTGTTGAACTGATGTGAATCCAGCCCTTCTATTTTTTCCCAGTGTTGTCAAATTTCAAAGCTTCCAACATGGATCACATTGCAAAAGCATCACAAAACCAGTTTTAAGCCACTGAGGACTAAAGGGGAAAAAATGTTTAGAAATGCCAATATTTTAATAAACTTTTAAGGTCTGTAGGGTGTAGTCTAGTTGAGTTTTTCAACTACTTCATCATAACTATAAGAACTGGAATAGTTTTATTTCCTTACTTTCACAAAACAGAGAATGAAAGGAGCCTGGTTTGTAAAGACCTATTTGTACATGTTCAAAAAGAGTTAAAGGCTAAAGTAATGTTACTTGGAAGAACGCAATTATAAGGAGATATTTATGGGTAGAATGTAAGCAATTAATTGAGGAAACAGTAAAAAATTTTGAATGTTGTTTGTGATTATGAAAACAATAAAGTGTCAGAAATCTTTGACCACTGAATCAAACCAGCCTGCCCCTTTGTTCACATTTAGTCAACTTTCTTAGCCCTACCACACACTGGAACCACACCAAATTCTTGTGATCCCACATTGCCGCAACTTTCCCACATAGTGTCATGAAGCTTCATATGTTTTTTCACCTTTTTATTTGTCATTTGTATTGAATCATCCACCCTGCATTATCAGAACAAAAATTACTGAATGTTAAACAGTATTAAAAATAAAACCTCTGATTTAGCATTCAGTATTCTGGATTGCCAAAATATCTTGTCTGAAAAAAAAAAAAAAGGCTGAGTAGAGCATCAAACATCTTAATTGTTCTACAAGAGAAGAAACTCACTAATTGAAGGGAAACCAACAAAAGCCCATAGAATAAGTAGGAAAATGCTACTTTTCTCCTAACACACACTAAACAGACCTTTTGAATGTTCAGGCATGGTTTAAGATACTAAATTTCCCATTCAGAATGCAAAGCTGAGGTTACAGATATGTTGATAGAGAGGTCAAATCATAATTTTTAATGTAGGTAATGCATTCAGATGAACAAAGAGCACATGGGAAAGCCCATCCTGACTCTGCTATGAGTAAATCACTACCTGGTTATTAGCTGTTGCTTCTGTAAGTTTGCATCTATTATAAACTGGGGCAGCAGTGCTTGCCACAGTGAAAGCAGCTGTGTGTCTATCATGTCCATTTCACTGAATTTAACAAAACTGAAACCAGAGTTGCCCAGATGTGAAACAGGACCAATGAGACCTTATGTTCTTGTCATACTTACTGGAAGCTTCACCACATAAAAGAAACAATTAAGGAAAGAAACAAATAGTGCATATTTTCCAAGTATTGTATTGTGTTGGTATTTTATTTTATTTTATTTTATTTTATTTTATTTTATTTTATTTTATTTTATTTTATTTTATTTTATTTTATTTTATTTTATTTTATTTTATTCCACTGCCTATCAAAGATCTAACTCTAATGCAAATTATTAGTAGTGACTGTATTGTGTTAAGAGCTTAAATAAATCTTATTTTTATTTACCTGGTCCTGGCCATTGTATTGATTTTAACATGTGATAGCCACCTAATTCTGTTCTACTTGTTTTTCATAGCCACAAGGTCAGCCCTTGCTATGTTGCTTCAGGAATTTCATCAAGGTGATCCAGCATTTTTTCTTCTTAGAGGCATGATATTATATCCACACAAGAGTTGTTACTTTACAAAGCCAAGCTGGAATAGCTCTCAGAATGCAACTTCAGTCAGAGTCAAGCAGTACAAAGTCGTGGTTCCTGATTTCCGCCTGGCAGGCTTCATGTCTGGGTTTGCAGTTTACAGGTTTGCCATTTCATGTGGCCTGGTTGTTTGAGCTCCACTTCTGGGTTTCTTGGGTTGACCTATGTTTGGAAAAGGAACATTATAAGTAACTGAAGCCTTTAGTCATCAAAATACATGCCCGAACCAGCATTTTACAATATTTCTGAAGAGTCCATTGAGTTCACTGCTGTCCTGGTCAACCTGTGAGGCACAGATGACATGGGAAAGTAGGCAGAACACACCTTTAAAAGAAGTAAGTCTTTTGTAAATTGGTTTCCTTGGTAGAGGGCGGATAAAGACCAACATTGTCGCAGGCAGAGAAGCACCTTGCACAGTCAGGTCACACTCATGAGCCACAGGCCACACATGGAAACTTGTAAAGACCTTGGTGAGAAAAAAACAGTGAAAAAGACTTCTGGGTCACCACAGGGGAGAGTGCTGTTTTATCAGATTTTGACTATTTCATGCATAGAAGTAAAGGTCACCTGACAACATGCTTTTGTAAAGAAAATGGCTCTGGAGTGTTCTGAAACCATCAACACTGACAGCATCATCTCCTCATAGAATGGGGTTTTACCAGCTGTGATACAATAAGAGAGAACAGCTGGCTTTCAAAAAGGCACATGTAGTGTGTATATGGCACTTGGACTGCCTGAGATGTAGCAATGATTTTTTAAAGTACATTATTTCTGTTTGCATCAAAGCACTTTGTTCCCTTTAACTTAATAAGCTTTGCATTTCTGTTAGCTAATTGACTCTTCATTTGCTTTGTGAATGCCAACAATGCCTGCTGACAGAAGTCCTACAGAAATAGGCTTTGGTCCAGCTGCTGGTCATGTAGGACTCTGTATGGGATCTGTACCAATTTGGGATCTTAGTCTAAGTAAGAAAACACCTAAGCCTGTGAGATAATGCATGACACACTGGCACACCCAGATAAATGTGAGTGTGTGCCAGAGTCTGCTAAGGAGAGGCAGCAGAATGCATTACTGGGCTTTCAGATTCTGATGCAACTGGGTTCAGACTCTCGCTTCTGGCAAGAAAATGAAGGAAAAGCAGTTATGAAATACCAGTCTTTGAATAACTCTGCTCTGTCAGATATTTTGTACACAGGAATCAGAGAGATATACATCCTTGAAATAACTTTTTTTTTTTTTTTTTTGACTGTTACATAACACTAATGTGTTTTTTTTGTCTGGTTTTGGGGCAGCACTTTTTCTGACAAGGAAGTCTCATGATGGCCTGCCTGCAATACACTGAGTTTTATTCTAGTATTTTCAGTGTTCTGTGTCTATAAAGTTTGGTAAAACCCGATGTAGCTGCCCAGTACTTAAGACTCAATCATTTCTGAAATCTGGTGATGACTTTAGCCCTTCCTCTGTCCCCAGCACAGGGATCTTGTGCATTGTGCTGTGTGTCCTTTCCACTCCCTGCTCTCCTGCAGGTGGGAAAGCAGAAATACTTTCCCACCGCTGCTTGTGGCAAAAGGATGACTGTTGGGAAAGGTCTTTTCAGTAATCTTCCAGGTACTTGACTGAAGGTTTTCTTCACATCAGATTCAGGAATAGCTGAAGTTTGTGGTGACATGAGTGCAAATCAGCTGCTATATAATCAAGGAATATAAGAGTAAACTTATGCCCACATAAAATCCTATGCAGTGGTCACTCCGAGTGTCCAGATATGTTTTTTGGTTTTCTTAGTTTTCTGTAAACTATGTAAAACATCACCAAACAACTCAGATTCATTATGACATGCTGTGTGCCACAGTTCAGGCTTCTTGAGGATATTTGGAATTTCCCTTCCACCTACCCCTTGTAAGATCTGTTGATAAACATGTTGCCACTTGAAACAGGGAAGACAAAAGTAGGAACAAGAAGGTTGACACACGTAAGAAGGACACAGTTTGGTGCTGCTCAGAGATGAGAAATAATAGTCTAAATCCTGGAGCAAGACGTTGATGCAAAGCTGAATTAGCAGACAGCAAATGAGTTGTAACTCCATAAATACTGTTTTGAAGTGCTTGATAAATTGCTTTTTTGTGTAACTCAACACTGGTATGTAGTTTTGGAAAGAGGCTGTTCTTAAAACAATAATGACCAGCATCCTGATTTTATTGCCACATTTGCCTTGTCGAGAAGGTTAAAAGGCTAATATCTCTCTGAGCACCACCACTCCTGACCCATGAACAACAGAAATGCTGAAGTGAATGTGAGCAAATGATCATATATAAGAAACAATCTTTGACTCACTACTTTATTCACTTTACACCCAGGAAATGGTTTTCTAGCATATTGTCTTTATTTTTTATTTTGTGTCTGGCTAAGTTTAGCTCTGTCGTAAGTCTTTCTTCTTTAACATTATTGAAAATCAAATGCAAGGGTTTGGTTGTTTGTTTGTTTTTTTTTCTTCTTCCATATTGTGCTTTTACAAAAAGAAAAAAGGGAAAAAGAAAGAAAGCAAAGTAGGTTGTTCATTCAGGTCTTCAATGCCTATCACAGCATCTTCTATTCCAAGGAAACCAACTGATGTTCTGGAACAGGTTCCAAATTTTTTTTGTGAAGAAAATGTGATGATACAGAAAAGCTGCTGCCTCCCCTCTTTAATCTCCTTTTCTGTAGTAGATTTGAGAATGAATTTGATTCCAAATTACTTAAGAAATAAGATTGCTATGGTTCATGATATAGCCAAATCCCCAGACTCTTCATGAAATAAACAATCCAGAGATTCATGCCTATTTTCCTTGTTTATTAAAGAATATATGAAGGAAGATTGTCTTAAACTAGATTTTCTGATTTGCTGTGACTTACTAGGGAGTACTTGATCTTGCTTGATTTTACTAGTCACATCTCAGTTGTCAAGACACATGTACGAAAAATTTTATTTACAGAAATTGTTGTATTACTAGATATATGTAATAGAGCCATCTCTTATAAGGTGATGTTTTCTGGATAGTCCTTGGGGGGGGAGGAGGGGGCATGACTAAATGGTAAAAGTCTGCTTTGGCTTTACAAAGTCACATATCTAATGTGCTGGTGATGATGCATTATAAATAGGGATTTTAGATGGTCAGTATTAGGAAAGAGGACTGAGTTATGTCCAACGCCTTTTATACCATTTGCTGCTTTTCACTTCCATTTGCCTTGTTAAAATCTGATGCTGAATATTTCCATATCAGTATTGCTAACCACTCCACTTAAGACAAAGCAGTGGATAGCAGTTCTTGTGGTGTGCAAGGGCTGCAGTTACCTGTCTCACAGGTAGACAGGCAAGCAGAAGTGCTTCTTGACTGGTACATGGGGGACCAGTGACCTTCATGCAACTTTCATTTGATGTAAATTATGTGACTAGGTAAATAGTGGTGATTTACCTTAACAGTTGTCAGCTAGCCCTAGCTATGGCCTTTGTACTACAGAATACTTACCTTGTGCTTACCTTTTCTGCAGTGATGCTGCAGAGTCCTGAACCAGGACTCCCACAGTGCTAGGTGCCACACAATCACAGGGCAGGAGGGCTTTATCTAATTCTGAGGAGATGATCCTCCTTTCTCGTGCTGAAAATGAGTAGGAACACTATGGTAGTAAAAAAAGCTGTAAATTCAGGATACAGACTAATTCTTTCAAGCTATTTTGATTTATTCTCCCTAAAAGAAATAAAGTGTATTACTGTCTGATTGAGAGACCCACAGCTTAATGTTCAGAAGAGAGCAAAAAGCAAAATCTGTATTACAGTTCACATCCAGGAAGAATTATGTCTGAGAAGGAGAAAAGAAAAGCCAGTCATTGCAAAATGCAATCCTTCAACCTAAGTTTTTCAAGCAAATTGACACTGTTGGGCCCTTGCTACAGTCCCCACTGCTCCA